GTCTCTCCCCAAGATCCCTCACTCAATCCCAAGAAAAAATCACACATATCACTATGTACAAGTTCCAAAAATAGGCGATTTTCTTTCAATGTTTGGAAAGGGTTGTTTTGTAACTTTCATAAGCATGCAAGTCTTACATTTTTCTGCATAAATATCGAAGGTTGGAATCAATCCATTCTTCGACATTTCATGCATTATTCTAAAAGTTACATGACTCAATCTTGCATGCCAAGTCATCGAGTCAATTTCAAAAGAAGATGATGATGATAAAAACACAAAATTTTCAGAATTTAAAATATTACTCATCACATTTAAACGAAACATTTTATCGTGATAAAAGCCAAAACCGACAAAACTACCATATCGAGATAGGATAAACCTATCTGATTCAAACACTTGTTTAAAACTTAAACAATTTAGAAGACCTCCACTAACAAGAGTTTTCCTAATTCTTGGAACAAAAAGAACATCAGACAACCTAACATGATTTCCAAAAGTAAACTATAAACTAACTACTCCAATCCCATAAATCGGTGCAGTCGACTCGTTCCCCATGTTTAGCACAGATCCATCTTTGACCGGTGTTAATTTCTCGAACTAGTGTCGATGTTTGCAAACATGGCATGTCACCCCCGAGTCCACCCACCATACGCAATCATCATCTTGTACATAGAAAGACTCGGAAATTAGTGAGACATAGTAAACGTGGACGTATCTATCAAAATCAAAGTTAGTTAAAGCCTGACCTCCTTTCACTTGAGTTTGGTCCTTAGACCCGGCTCTACATCCTCCACTTGTACCAGCACCGTTAAGATTAACCTGGCAATCATGTTTGCAATGGTCCAATTTGTTGCATCTCCAATACAACAAACCTTCTTCTTTTTAAAGGATTTATTGGGTCCATCAAACTTTCGCTTCTTGCCTTTATCGTTATCATTATTGGAGTGTGTTTTCTTCTCCTCGATCATGTTAACCGAGGTCTATCCCGATTCAACTTTCTTCTCCTTACCATTTTCTTGCACCTGAAGAGATTCTTCGATGCGCAAGTGCTACCAAGTTGAACCAGCGACAGTTCCTCATTTTGATGTTTCAAGTTGTGCTTGAAATCTTTCCAAGATGGTGAAAGCTTGTCAATCACACTCGACACAACAATGGATTCTTCCATATTCATTTTGTACAGTGTGAATTGACCAAAAATGCGAAGGATTTCATTATATTGTTCCATCACCGGCCTTGAGTCAACCATTTTATAATTATTAAAATTGCTCACCAAGAACTTCTTACTAGAAGCATCTTCAGTGATATATTTTGACTCAAGGGAATTCCATAATTCCTTCGCTCTTTCCGTATTTTGGTAGATGTCAAAGAGAGAATCAGTCATACTGTTTAAAATGTGGCATCTGCATATGTAATATCCATTCTCCCACTTATTCCTCCTGTGGATCTGTTCCAGCGTCTCGTCCTCCACTATTGCAGGCATGGGGTACTCAGCACATACACCACCTTCAAGGTCGTTAGCAGAAAATGCATCTTTTCTGCCAACGCCTAAAATCGACTCCTTCAAACTTCTCCAGCTTTCCAAACTTCGAGGTCATTTCTTTCATATAATTGGCCATGACCGACTTCATCGGGATATCAATTCGATTGTTATCGAAAATAATAAAATAGGGTAATAGATCAAGAACCGGTTACTTGAGAATCGTGTAAGAGATTACTTTTCAAATTGATATTTCAACCCTATCCCGGGTTACACGAAATACAATATGGGATAAGACTCAAGAGAGCACTTTCGTTTTTAGGCACAAAAACGAGAGCAAACTTGCTGTAGAATATGTAAGGATTGTCCAAAAATGTGAGTCCAAAAACATGAGTATAAAAGGTATTTATGCTCGTAAAAAATAACCGAAACGACAATTATGGCTCATTATTAGGAGTAGTGGACAGTCATAGAAACTGCACATTAATTGAACATTAACTGCTCAATAACTGTTCAAGACACAAGACCAAAAGCAAGACCAACTAAAGCCTCTTTGGTCCTTGATCAACCAGAACGAACTCCTGGTCTTACCAACCAGAGTTTCTGGTTCTTCTGATTAAGTTTTCCACTAAATTCTAAGTCCAAAATTCCGATTTGGACCCCGTAAGGGGAGCTGCCCCTTGACCCCCACTATTTCGTCGTGTCTGGGGTCATACTCGTCTTATAACAAGTGTGCACCCCGCACCTCCTGACTTGTATTAGAACACAGTATAAAACCCTATTAGAACTCGTTGTTACTTTCAATTACACTTAAATGGCCAAGTGACACTAAAATCACCAACAGTACCACTATATGATTTAACAAGATCTTATACAATCAACATGAATGAGTGGCTTCATAATCGATTTACCCACCAAAAACCTTGTCGCCATTGAGGGGAAAAAGTATCCATGCCTTCATGCATTTCTAGAGCCCTCATTTATTGTTAACTTGTAGAAGATGTAGGAAATTTTGAACACATTTTTATGCATAAAAAATAAACAAACGGCCTTGTAGAAACCCATGAGAACATGTATACATTGTTAACATACCTAATGTACAACAACTTGACATCAATCGAGTAAGAAGGTATCCATATGTTTTATAGCCTTCATTCATAGATGGCTGGATTTTATGCTTTCACTATAGTGTTTGGGCTGCCTTTTTATAATAAGAATGAAATGAGGATGATTAGTGAAGTAGTTATATTATTATATTCGGTAAGCGCTTATCGGTAAAATTCAACACTATTGGAGTATTAAAACAACTAATCAACTCCCTCCATATACATATACATGCAACTATCTTCATTTTTATTCAATAACTTAAGTTGTTGCTACATTCATCAACTATTGATGAAACCTTCAACTCACTTCATTGACCTTCTATCAGATAAAATCTGAAGAAAGTACCCAGTTTTCTAATAATGAAACCTTTCGATTATCTTCATATTCATGCATTTACCTGGGCAAGGAGACATTCATGCCTTCAAGCATTCGGACAACCAGATGAGAAATTGTGTTGTATTCAAACAACTACCATCAATAGATTTTCCAACTAATCTTTCTAAGGAAAATATTCAGTTATTCTCACTGACATATATTTTAAAAGACACAAGTTTTAAAAACTTGCACTTTATCGTACTTAAACGGCAATCAATAATTATTGAAAGATTAAAACTGTCAAATGAATAAACTCTTTAGGAATTAATTTAGTAAATTAAATATCAAAACTTTAGTTTAATTTAGAGTAAACTACATTCATCGTTTGAAGAACCACTTTTCTCTCTCTCTCTCTCTCTCTCTCTAAATTTTGCTCTCAAATTATTGATGGAACTAAAGAAGCAACATCAAATTCGAAATGTAATCTCAAAATTCTTTTTAAAAGTATATATTTTTTTTATTTGTACAAAGATTTTTAGGTTAGAAATATTGAGATTTATTTCTATTCGGGTTTATTTTTAGGCTATGAATTGATGTTGCAAGTTTGTGCTAACATACATGATTAGAACACTTAAGGGCCGTTTACCCAATTACTTACCCGGTAAGCACTTACCGATAGGAGTCACCACTATGATTTATTTTGATTCGCATGATTTTAGTACATCAAAACATATTGAACGCAACAATTTACTGGGAAGCGCTTACCTGGGTAAGAGTCGTCATCCTCACTTACCGGGTAAGACTCTCCATCATTCTCATCGCTCTAACCCGGTAAGATTCTTGGCCCTTTTCTCATGTTCATCCGATAAGGAAATTTATCCGGTAAGTACTTACCAAGTAATTGTTTAGTAAACGGCCCCTTAGATTAGCCAAAACTGAAATTAGGAATTGAAATGGTAAAACATGGAATCAATATGGTCAATTTGTGACTTGATATCAAATCGCACAAGAAGTGCTTGATTAAATACCTAAGAGAGTAAAAATTACATGATTAAGATTAGAATAATGACTATTGAACTTCATTAATAATCAATAAAAATATTCCCTAGTGAAACATAACACGAGGTGTGAGATTCATATATAGATTCATTGGGGGGTAATGTGTCTTAACTATCAAATAAAATCATTGAAAATAATCGGATTAATTAATTGACAAAATACCTCCTCCTTGTTCTATCTTTGATTATGAGATAAAAAAGAAAAATCTCTCATTATTATTAATAAATGTAATAATTATATTTTTATAAAACTAGAAAAATATTTGCACAATGTAGCAAGATACATTTTGATTTTTGTATTTTATTTTTTTTATTTCAGTCGATGTTATAATACTGTTTTATATGATTTTTAGAAAATGGTAATGATTTTATTTTTGAATAATATATGAATATGAAAACATCATAAGAAATTGAAAAAAAAATATTGATTTCATATCAAACTAATTATTTAAAATTTCTCATTTTTTATATATTTTTTTAATTCATTTTTTTCCTTTTTGGTTTAATAATATAATTTTCTATAAAGATAATAATTAAGTATTTTGTTAGAACTTAATACTTATCTTAATTATATTTTAGATTTTTTATATTTAAAATGAGATATTTATCCTCTATTTGATTATGTTTATATACGGCTAATTACACAAATTCAAACATGAAACTTTAATAAATTGTACTTACGCACAATTTACTTTTGTAGATCCTATTTCCATTAAAATATTCCTTTTACTTTTTTATTTAATTGTTTTCATACATTTTGTAAGGAAGAATCTAATACAAGGAAAATGTTCCATACAAATTGATTTAATTTTATCTTATTTTGTATTTCCAAATATACAAATATTTTACTTATTAATACATTGTAATAGGACGTTAGGTTTTTTATCATTTCCCCTGCACATGTTCAAATGCTAAATACCCACCAATACCATCACCTTTTTTTAGTAAATACAGTAATATGCATATACACAAATGAACTCGGAGGCAGAAAGCCCTGATATCATTAGGCCGCATCATCAAACCAGTTGCCAAAACACAAGATCTGACTCCACAAAACTTGCATTTCCCATATCTCATGCTCAAAAAAACAAAACTGTTACATGATCGATCAATAAACAAATGTTACAGTTTGAACGAGTTTTGTGGAAACTCACTGGGTTTACAACAAAATCTGATCATATCATAACTATGACACAGCCACTCCCTTGTGAGTTGCAGACTCCTATTGCTTAGATTTGGTTTTCTTCCTGAAATGGCAAAACCAACTGTTAGTCGAACCCATCCACACGAAACATATGTAACGTTTGTTTTGGGTATTACCGCATTCTCATTATAACAGAACCGTTTTACAAGTGGGCAACACAATAGATCATGATAAACATAGCCAAAAATAATGCAGTTTCAGTTTTCTTGTAAATGAGCAGATAAAAGAACATACAAACATCAGTTCGTCTTATGGCACAACTCGATTCATCATTTCTTCAAGTATATTCAACCACTCAAGATTTTTAAGGTAATAAAGTAGAAGTGCAGCTTGCATATGAGGAACATGTGGATTACTCATGAATTGGCTCGTCAATATTTGTACAGGAAAAGCAATGTCAGGATGAGTGATGGTGAGTCGAGAAGTCGAATACCCAGCATATGATATTGTGAAGGAAAGGACCATCGATAACATCTCCCTTAGGATTAGACAAGGTTCTAAAAAGCAGAATCGGGACTCGAGGCGTTTTCCTTCCACGCCCTGAGGTGTAAGCCTCAAGGCATAAAACAAATTATATTCATATATTAATAGTAAGCAAAACATAATTCCATACCAAACTTTAAACGTCATAGATTCATAAAATACTAGTTATACGTCTAAAAACATATCAATCTACAACTTATAGTTCCCCATAGCATGATCAAGTTGTATAGCTCCACAATCGTATCCATAATCACTATCACTCTCATCTTCCACATCCACAGAAAACAGAAAAATAATACAGAAAACTGAAAATAATATAGAAAACAAAAAATAAAGATAATACAAAAAAACACACATATAGAAAATACATTATACATGATATGGAACATATATACTTGACTGAAAAAATGCAATATAATATAATACATTATACATAAACTAAAAATATGGACACAAACTAAAAAGAACTTGCTTTTTGGGTTAGCCTTTTAGAAGAAAATCTTCTTGAGAGAAGAAAAAGTAAGAAATGAAGAAGAAAAAAAATGTTGTTTGGAGAGCGTGAGCCTCTGAAACGCCTGATGCCTCAAAGCCTCAAGGCACCGGCTTACCATTTGAGGCTTAAGCCTCGTCCAGGGACCATGAGGTGCCGCCTCAAGAGCGGTTTTGGGCCGCCTCGCCTCGAGGCGTACGCCTCAAACGATTTTGAAAACCATGGAATTAGATAAACAAACTTTACGATCCTTGATTAGGGATCGTATTACATCCCTGTACGGCTGTACCTTAAACAAAAAGCTTCGAAGTTATGTACCGACAAGCTATATGTGATAATTGTTGGTTTGGTTATGCATAGTATTCTATGTTGCATCAAATGTATTACATCCCTGTACATTAAACGAAAAGCTTCTTTGCATTTTCTTCTTCTAGTTCTCCCAAGCCCTACTTGCTACACTTCTTTTATATTTGATCTCTAAAGGTCCCTTCAAATCTTTCGTATGTCAATGTCACAATCCCACTCCCACTTGGCTATGAGCATATTAATACATACATACACACACACATATATATACACACATTATTAATAGACCAATATCTTTTTCTTTGTTATATATATATATTTCATGATTGAAACGTGTATGTAGATTATTTTAGTAATCTAGTATGATATATATTTCATATAAATGTATATTATATTTGTGTAATATATATTTTTGCATCATTTGGTGTATATATTTTTGCATCGGGGCTTACGCCTCGAACTGTCTCGAGCCTAACGCCTCGCCTCGTCAAGGGAAAACGCCTCAAGGCCCGATTTCGCCTTTTAAAACCTAGACTCCACCAAACTCACACTTATCGCATGGTCCGGCAATGTGCTACAATTGAATAAATCTTCACAAAGTGATCTCGGCTTACTGAAATACACACTAATCGTGTCTTCATCTTGTGAAAGAATTATCAAATCACGCCTTACCTAAAAAATCCTTGGACCATTGATCTATTAAAATTTGTCCCTAAGATCAGCCCAAATATCAAGAGCAGTATCAACAAAAATAATACTTGCTCATGCATCCTCTCAAACCAAATTAAGTATCCAAGATATCATGATATTATCGTTCGGAGCCATGAATTCAGTCTAATCATGTCACACATGTCTGATTTCATGATCGATCCATAAACAAAGCCTAATTTGTTTTTACCAACGCAATCATCATGGTCCTACTTGAGACACTAGAATGAGCAACAGACTATCTTTCATGAAGGAAGAACGGATTATTAATCGAATTTGACAAATCCAAGCTTGCGTCTCATAAATATTCTGACCACAAACAAAAATGAAATGAAAACAAATGAAGAAATAGCAAATGAAACAGCAATTTAATTGCAGATCATTTTGAGATGAACAAAAGCAGAACCATCAATCAGCTCTAATACTATATTACAAGTCATAAGATGAATTGAGAAAATAGAGATTTATAGAGAGTATATTGGAGGAGAAAAATCTGTGTATTAAAAATGAAGGAGCAGAATGCTAACCGCCTATTACAGTTATACTTGATCAAAAGGAATCTGCCACCAACTAAATGACATGTAACTAACTAAATTTAGTAAATACAAGTCTAAAATGGTATAAACAAAGCAAGATGCATATGAAAGGCTTTTCACTTACTTGAGAGTCAAATGTTTCAAGTCCTCAATAGCTGCCTCCACTGCATAAAGTGCCATTTTCTTCACCTGTCAATTAGCAGCATAAAGCAATTGCACCATTATAATGTACAGCAAATCAATCAAGATCTTTAGACCAAATGATGTCATGCATACAATGAAGTCACAAACGCATTTTTTTTACAAGAAAAGGATGCAAAACAAGATGATATTATCAGATTTCCCCAACAAAGGTATGGAGGCATAGAAGCAAAAAAATTACTTGATTCCAACATTAGAATTATTGAGCCTTAAAAATAAATGTCGGGTGGGACCCTTGATGGTAGTTTGGGAACCTTATTTAGTTTCAGTTTTATTTGGAAGCTTCATAAAATTCTTTTCTAAAACAATGGGGATATTTTGACTCTTACTTTGAAGAAGGGAAGAAACAAGTAACAATAATTGCAGAGACTATGACAACAGCGTATTCAGGTCTTATTCATAGAACAATTATCAGATTGAAGGCGATATCCTCATTCCTCAGCTGGATCAAAATAGACTACATAGAGCATGAACTAGAAAAAACTGGAATTTTAGAACTGGTGCTTGATGAAAAATCTAATATCACAAGATATACAAAACAGATTGTTTACCTCCAACTTATCTTCCTTTGCCCTATGACTTTGGGGAAGAACACGGAAATCTTCTGTCAACCGGATGCATTCACCAACATTTTCAGGAGAAACAAAGTCCAATGCGACTTTAATACATGACTGCAGTAACACATTCAACAGAACTTATTTATGCTCTTAATAGAACAGGGAACACAAAAGATTCAGAGATGAGTTCAATAAGATGATAGCACTCTAGAGAAAACAGTTTTCAGTATATATCAGGTTCCCTACTATAAAGTCAACTTACTATACGCCCACACATAACCTCTCCAAATCTCTCTGTCCCTTTCTGCATTTCCCCTCATATCCATACTTGGGCATACACGATTCCTACAATAAAAGGGCCTAAAGAAGAAACACAATTAGATCTGTGGGGTTGGGATTTATTCTAGGGTTTGCGTTGGTTTTCATTCCTTTTGGCGGTTGTTGTGTTCAAGTTCAGATCTGTTGATGCGATTTCTGGGCTGTTTGTACTCAGATCTGGTCATAGGAATTCGTTTTAGGGTTCCTTGATCATCAAGTTTTGGTTTTTTCACGGTTGTGGTTGAATCAGATCTGGTTGCGAGTTCCAGAACTGGTCGACGGCATCTACGGTTGGGGTGTTGTGTTGGCTGTTTGGCATCGGTATTGCTCCACCATTGTTGCTGTTTGGGTTCCGCAACCTAGCTGCTGCATGGAAGGGAGCTTGGGTTCGGCAGTAGGTGATGGGGGCGCCGGTGTGGATAAGTCTAAAAAGGATGGTGCTCCGAATGATACGGCTAGGGTTGGAGAGCTGGGTGTACTCAGGTGTCAGTTTTTGAAAGATTAACGACCAACAGCAATATTGCAGCTTCTAATGGCCCTCAAAATGGGACTGTGCAGATTCTGAATCGTGATTAGAACTTCGCATCAGTTGTTGGCGGTTTGAAAGTGAATGATTTGCAATTCTCCCCTCTTGTTGATAAAATCCAAACGTGCGTGCCAATTCCAATTGAATTAGCTAAAGAGGTAAGCAAATCTTACCACACGACTCTTTTTGGATATTTTTTGGGAGCCCGTATCCCCTTCCCGGTGGTTCAAAGAATTGTTAAATTGGCTTGGAGTAAATACGGGTACCATGATGCTATGATGAATGCGAATGGAATCTTCTTTTTTCGTTTTAATGATGAAGGTGGGTGTACTCAGGTGATAGAACAAGAGCCTATAATGATTCGGGGTGTCCCTTTGTTTGCCTTTCCTTGGGATCCAACCAAGGGATTACATAAACCGGAACATAAGTCTTGCCCCTTGTGGGTAAAGCTTCACAACATTCCTCTTGTTGCTTTCAACCGGGAAGGAGTTAGTCGAATCTCAAGTGCATTAGGTGTACCCAAACAAAAGGATACTTGCACGGCTGAGATGTGTGAAAAGTTGTGGGGTAGACCGGGGTTTGCTAAAGTGTTAGTTGAGGTCTGGGCAGTTGGTGCTCTAAAAAAGGAGTTGGAAGTTATTGTTCCAAACTTAAAGGGAGGTAAGAATGAGATAGTTAACATTCGGGTGGAGTACTTATGGGAGTCGTCCCAATGCACCTATTGCTGCGTTTTTGGACACAAGACCTTAAAGCGAAAATGGCAAGTACGGCCATGCAAAAGGAAAAGGACAAGATGACCCACATAATGGTGAGGGCTTTATTCAGGTTGGAAAACGCCAATGGAAGCCGAAAGTTGGCTCACAAGAAGAAGTTCATAACAAGGTGGTCACTAAGCCAATTATGGTGGAAAGGGAAGGTACTCAAAAGGGTAATGAGACTGTGTCCCAAGCAGGACCAAATGATTCCAACATTGGAAAACCGAACAGTTTTAATCCAAGACATGTGAATCCCAAAGTTGACGGGGTTTGGGGGACAACAGTGGGGAATCTTGGACAATGGGCGAAAGCCCGGAAGTTTCTAATTCTACTGAAGAAAGTCATTCTATGCCTAAGGACGACGCTTCTTCCGCAACAACACTTGCTCTAGAATTTATGGCCTCGGTTGTTCGCTCGTTCCATACCTACGATAAATCGAGGAAGCCTCGGTTCTTGGAAACCGGTTTGCACCTTTAGTGGGCGGTGAGACTAGTGTTGATGTGAAAAAGGAGAATCAATCGGGAATGGAAGAATCTTGTTGTAAAGATTTTATTGTTGGGAGAAGTTTGGACCAATCGGGCTCGCCTCTAAGTGAATCATGTTAAAACTAGCTTCATGGAATATTCGAGGTTTGAACTCCCCGATAAAGCAGCGTGAGGTAAAACAATTGATTCATGTTCATGGTCTCTCTCTTATTTTGTTAATTGAAACGCATGTGCATATCTATGTTTCGAGCACTACGTGTCAAAAGGTGGTTGGTAGGTGGGAATGGGCTTCTAATAGCAGATTCTCCCCTCATGGAACTCGTCTTATTTGTGGTTGGGATACTCGATGTTTAGATATGCTGGTGATAGAGGCTCATAATCAATTCATGCAATATGAAGCTCGTATTAGAGGGGAAGTTGATCCTATCTTCATCTCGTTGGTTTATGGTGCAAATAATGATATGTCGTAGAGACCTATGGTCGGGCTTTCGAAAGGTTAAAGTCCTTTTGAGGGATAAACCGTGGGTTATTATGGGGGATTTCAATGCCAGGCTTTTTCCACATGATGGTTTTGGGGGTTCCTCCCGAAGGAATAAGAACATGGCGGATTTCATGTGTGTGGAAGATGTGGAAGTTTTTGATATATGCTATTCGGGATTGCAATTTACAGGGTGTCAAAAGCGGAGTGGGGATGGCGGAATTATGAGGAAATTGGACCGATTGCTTGCTAACTCGGATTTCACCCATCTTTTTCAAGATGCAGCGGTGGTGCAAGAAGGTTGGATGAAACCTGTGCATGGTTCGTTTACGTATAAAGTATTGAGTCGGTTAAAGGGGCTGAAATCTCCGTTAAGGAAGCTACGAGTCTCGATGGGAAATATTGAAAAGAGAGTTGCTCCAAAGATTGAATTGGATGTGATTCAATGTGCATGTGATTTAGATCCTTCTAGTATCCTTCTGGCATATCAGCGATCTCGTTTGGAGGAGATGATTCTTAGACAAAGAGCGAAGGTAAATTGGTTAAATGAAGGGGGTGGAAATACAAAAAATTTCCATCATTTTGTTCAGGAAAGATGGAACACTAATCAAATACATGTAGTTTGTGATATTCAAGGTAACTTTGCTTATGATGATGATGTTGCCAAAGTTCTTATCGACTATTTTCAATCCATCCTTGGTGTGAGTGACGTGATGGTGGATCTAGTGATGCCTGCGGAGATGTTTGTGAAAAAACTCTCTTTCAAAGACTCTCCATATGATTCGGCCCATTACTAACGTGGATATTCGGAAGGCCTTGTTCCAAATAGGTAATGATAAGTCCCCGGGTTCGGATGGTTTTTCGACTAAATTTTATTAGGCAACTTGGAGCATTATCGGGAAGGATGTGGTGATGGTCATTCACAATTTTTTCTATAATGGCCATCTTGAAAAGGAGTTGAACCACACAATGGTGTGCCTTATTCCAAAGAACCCCATGCTTCTAATTGTTACCAATTTCAGACCTATCGCATGTTGTTCAGTCTTGTATAAATGTATTAGTAAGATCATTTGCGATCGAATGAAAGGTTCTTTGGACCCTTTGATTAGCTCATCTCAATCGGCTTTTATTCCGGGAAGATGTACCTCGGATAACATCCTGATGGCCCATGAGTTGGTTGCGGGGTACCAAAGAGAGGTGAGACCACCAAGATGTGCTTTTAAAATAGATAATCGAAAAGTGTATGATATGGTGAATTGGCAATATTTATTGAATATGTTGTAAGGGTTTGGTTTTCACCCTATTATGCTTAATTGGATTCATAAGATGCTTACTATCCCTCTTTTTCTTTCGCAATTAATGGTGACTCAGAGTTTTTTAAAGGAAAAAGGGGCATTCGTTAGGGTGAACCTATTTCACCCTACTTGTTTATGATTGTTATGGAAGGCTTCTCCATGATATTTCGATTGTGTATTATGGAGGCTCATTCGTTTGGTTATCATAATGGGTGTGGGGATCTTCAAATCACTCATCTTTGTTTTGCTGATGACCTCTTTGTTTTCACAAGAGGTGATGTCTATTCGGTAGAGGTGTTAAAGAAAGCTCTTCAAATCTTTAAACCAGATCTAGTCTCTCTCCTAGCCTTGAGAAGAGTGAGGTTTTCTTTGGTAATGTATCTCATGATAAGAAGCAAGCTATCTTGAACTGCCTTCCATTCCGTGCCGGTGTGTTCCCAATCAAAAATTTGGGTGTTCCTCTTTCTCAAGTTAGACTTAAAGTTGTGGATTTTTAGTGGCTTGTTGAGAAGGTAAAAGAAAGAATTCATAATTGGAAATCCAAGTTCCTCTCGTATGGCGGTATGAGACAACTTGTTAATTCAGTTTTGCAGGCTTTACAATTATATTGGATGGCGGTCTTCATTATCTCGTGGGGAGTTATTCATGAACTTGAAAGACTTTTTCATGATTTCTTATGGTCTAAAGGTGAAAGCTCAAGAGGCAAATATCGTATAGCATGGGAGGATGTTTGCAAACCTCTGATATGTGGAGGTCTTGGTGTTCGCAGACTAGCTTTGTGGAACCGATGTTTGATGGCTAAGCACGTTTGGGAGTTACTACGTAGGAGGCAATCTTTATGGTTTCAATGGATCCATCTCCATTATATACAAAATGATAACTTCTGGACAATTCGGAAGAAAGAATGTTGGTCGTGGATCTTTCGTAAGTTATTGGACATGAGAGATCAGGTTAGACCTTACTTCTTAGTTCAAATTGGTAATGGTCTATCTACTCATGCTTGGGAGGACAAATGGTTATCTATTGGCCATTTATCGGTTCTCCTTTCTTATCGTCTTATTCATACTGATGGGTTCAATGTGAACTCCATGGTTAGAGATGTGGTGGATGCAATTGGAGGCTTTTGGCCGAATGCTTGGATCCAAAAGATTCCTCTATTAGCGAATTGCTCAATCCCAGCCATGTAGAAGGAGGTTTCGGATCGGGTCTACTGGTTGCAAAACCATAGTGAGCCTATTGAGTTTAATAGTTCGTCAAGCTTGGAGATCTACGGAGAATTCGTATCAAAGAGTTTTATGGCACAAAATTGTTTGGAACAAAGCGTATATTCCAAAACATGCTTTTTTTGTGTTTGGCTTGCATTTTATTGTCGGCTACCCACCCAAGATCGTATCCTTAATTGGAAACACGATCCTCCAGATATGAAATGCTTGTTTTGGCAAGGCTGCATTGATTCTCATCATCACCTATTTTTTCAATGCTCGTATACTAAGGCAGTTTGGCGGATGGTTTAAAAGGGAAGTGGGCTTGTCTGATTTCTCGAAGGTTCGGGATGATATCCTTAATCGATGTTTGGCTGGTAGATGCTCGGCTTGGACTCTTTGTCAAAAGCTGTCCTTTTCGGCTTCTATTTACTATATATGGCAGGAGAGGAATAAGAGATTATTTGATAACCGTCATCGCTCGATTAGAGAGTTGTTCAAGGATATTAAAAATGTTGTGCTTCTCATATTGGCTTGGAGACATAGAAGGTGTAAGGCTTCCTTCCTCAATGTTGGGGTGTGATTGGTTTATGGTCTTGGTTGGTGTGCTCAGGTTCTGGTGCTTTTTCCTGTGTTGATTCGTTTGGTTTTTGTTCTATAGTTTGTTTTGTTCTGTTTCCTTGAGCCTGTTTTGGATCCTTATGGCTTGGTTTGTTGTTTCCCTGTATTTCTTTTTCTTTAGTTAGGCTTTCGCCTGGATCTCTGTTTTGTTGTTTTTCTTTAATATATTGCTTGGATTTTTCCTCTCAAAAAAAAGGAAGAAACACAGTTCTACTAACACCACCACAAGTAGATTTGCATGACGACATAAGGTTAATTTATTTTATAACCTTCATAAAAGAATTATAATAATGCTCCCTTATAAATGTACTTGTGGCTTTATTTAAGACCATCAAGATTCCCCAGAATCTTCTCCATCTAATTTTGTGAAGGTACCTGCATGGTTGGTACGTCAGAAGTTGTGCGATGTGGTTTTGCAACTCTTACATGACAACCATCTCATGGTTTCTATTATTGGAAGTCGAAACCGATCCTAATATTCTTGTTGATTTCTAACTATTTCTCTTGCTATTCCAGATAGCTTTCCATACTTACATAACATAAAGCTTTGTTGGCAGTTATAGTCTTGTTTGGCCATAAACTTTCATTGAGTAACAAAGTAATAGACAAACTCGCTTAAGGGGTCATATTAATTAGGTACGAGGATTATGAAGTGATAAAATCTTATGTCACCTGCCTCGCTCGTTTTTCGACCTGATAAATCTTTTGTTCACCTGCTTGAATGAATGTTTGTATCTTACATTCTTACCACGCTTTTTAATCTACCGCAAGCAAGCTTTGGAGTTGGTAAGATTACTCCTTTGCGACCAGTGTCCTAAAAAACGCTACGCAGAGATGGGTGAATGCCTAACAATAAATTGATTTAAGTGGGAATTAAGGTGATTTTTAAGTGAACACATTAAGTAGTTCAGTTTTAATGTATAGAATATAGTTTGTAAGCAATTTGTCTATTGTCAATCTTTAAAATGTGGTAAGCAAACCTGAGTGGTCGAGTGACCTTTCAGTGCTTAATTGCTTAAGGGGGGTTAAGCAGACAGTTGAACAAAAGTAGATGTTTAAATAAAGGGCAAATTGCATGAAAAAGTAACGTACTTTAACTTGATTCCTATTTTGGGTAACGTACTTTCAAAACTTTCATTTTGGTACCTATTGATAGAGCAAATTGCATGAAAAAGTAACGTACTTTAACTTGATTCCTATTTTGGGTAACGTACTTTCAAAACTTTCATTTTGGTACCTAAGATGTAAAGTTTTAAACATTTAAGTACCCGGGTAACTGGTTGAAGTATTAACCGATTATCATGTTAATGTGGCGAGTGATGTGGTATCCAACTCGGTATTATTTGCTGACGTGGTCAGTGACGTGGATTTTTTAAAATCTAAAATTAGTCTTTTTTTTTTAGTCTAAAATTAGTCTTTCCGGGTTACCCAGGTACTTAAATGTTTAAAACTTTACATTTAGGTACCAAAATGAAAGTTTTGAAAGTACGTTACCCAAAATAGGAATCAAGTTAAAGTACGTTACTTTTTCATGTAATTTGCTCTATCAATAGGTACCAAAATGAAAGTTTTGAAAGTACGTTACCCAAAATAGGAATCAAGTTAAAGTACGTTACTTTTTCATGCAATTTACCCTTAAATAAATACATAAAATAAAAATATTTTCCGGATTATGTAGACATAATCGAAAAAATGTTATTTTGATATACTTATCTGAATTACTAGTTTCATGTTCTATTGATACAGTAGAAAAATATTAAAAAGAATCCTTCCAAGTTGGGGAAAAAATGATTGAAGAACCCAATATGAGAAAAGTCAATTTACCCCCCCTTTAGGCAACTAGAATGAATCATCAATAGCTAATGAATCGATGCCAGAAACTACTCCTAGGCTGCCAATGAAGTTGTAACAAATGAAAGCAATAGGCATTACCATTATATTTATTGGTTAGCATGTAAACCTGATAAAACCCTAACTAAATACCATTTCTATCTCCTATGCATGCAAACATGCCATCAAGTCTAACATTTTATGGAAAAGTACACTTCATCATCTTGCAACATAAATACATCCTGAAATTGCATATAGAAGTCCAATCTACCCATATTTTAAATGACACTAGAAAGCCTTGAAGTGAAGTCAAAGACAAAAAAAACATGTAATTTCATAGACCAAGGGAGGTGACAACTTTTGCCATGATAATAGGTCTCAAAATAGTTTGCAAGTATACAAGGGGAAATGTATCTCACAAAAATAACGTTTGTATGCTACCGATGATGGCACCAATGAGGAGGGTAGAAAAAGTGACAGTCAAGGGATGAGGAGGAAGAGAAAGATGTGGAATGAGCAACTGAGGATGGGCAGGGTAGCTCTTAGGCATTTCCAGGGACATGACCTCTAATAAGAGTACTTGGAGGTGGAGGATTAGGTGGCACACTAGAGGTGAGGACTTGTAGTTTGCATGATTGGACAGTAGGGAGTAGGAGAGGTTGGGGTAGAATACTGGCAATTTATGCTAGTGGCGTTTTTGCCTTGTTTTGCGTGTGCTCTTAATGTGTTATTGATTACTTTACTTTTTGTATGTTTTCAATGTACCTACTCGTAACTTTTTCTTACTTATTTTTCTCATCCTACGTTCGCCATGTGCTAGTCCTTGTCCCTTCTTCATGTTTGCTCACACTTTAGCACAAGTTGGAGGTCTTCACAGATTCAACCATTCTACTCCTTGAGGTAGAGGTCAGGTCTGCATACATCTCGCCCTCCCCTCAGGACCCTACTTCCTATTGGAATATATTGTTTCAGTTTGGTTAGATTTAGAAGGTTGCAAGTATACAGCTTAGCACGTTTGCAAGTAATCTCCATGACACCAAATCTTGACCCCAATTGATCTCAAATTAAGCAACCTCATAGAGTGAATAAAATCTGAAAACCAGTAGTAAGTTATTAACCTTCAAATTTCTAACTTGATGGGCACAACCGGCAGGTATAAAGACAGCATCTCCAAGCTTTTGGACAAAAGTCCATGGTTCAATCCCTGATGACAACCAAAAGAATGAGCACATTCACAAATATATCACTAGAAGTTCATAACCACATTGCATAAATGTATACTAACCAAACTCTTCTTTGAGCTTCCTTTTATGCTCCATAGTTAAGTAAAATGTTTGGTCATGGATTGGGTGGATAACCTGGAGCAAGAAAATACAATGGAACAATTTTAAGAAACTACTATTTCTAACATATAAGAATCTCTATTAAAGAACTATGATTTCACCTCCAAAAGTAACTTGATTAATGGCTTTATTCTTCTATTAACCAACATATGATTTTCAAATTTTGTGATTGCCATGTCATAAAAGAACAAATGGCCAAGGTCGATGCACCTACACTGACCTTTGCAAAAGTTTGGGAAGAGAAGTCTTTATAAGCACAACCTTCATTTCCATTTTGCAAAAATTTATATGATTCAAACCAGCAACTCCTCACGGATTATCCTTATTGGTAGCATAAGAACTATCATTGTGTACGATATTGAGAGAAAATGATTACAAAGTGGCTACGAGAAACCCAATTTAAAAATTGTGAAATATTGATTGGAAGTTGAAACTTAGTTATTAGTTATCACATAACTGATATCACTTCAGAGAAACAAACTAATGCACATTTGTTATAGCATTTGATAGCAATTTAAAAGAACATGGAACTCATGAGTATTTTTAGTTCATAACTAAGATTTAAAGCTAGTTGTATAACTGCTTAGATCTAGTGCATTCATTATCGAATGTATGCCATCCTTTTCTAATCTCCAAGTCAAGGACATGCATCATAGTTCATACAACTAAAAAATAAGAAAGGATTTCTTTTGGTGTAATATATAGATGCAAAACAAAGGAGTGAGTGAGAGGAGACACTTCAAAAACAAGAAAGGGTTTCTTCTTGACGTCCACAAATTAGATCACTTTCAATTACAATATATTGACTTCAAGTATGAAACATGAGAGGATTCACCATATATGAATTGTAATGAACAACAAACGAGGATTGTAATTAATAATTATTTTCTATCCTGAATAGATATGATGGTTTTGCAATTTGAGACAAGTCCAAGCTAGGTTCGCTGAAGTTGGCATAATGAAACCCTCGAAAAAAGTGTACTACTACTAACTTTAACTTGAGCATTAACAGACAACCCAAAGCATTGAACATTCTTTCTCCTCCAGCATCCACCTCATGTTTACCTTCTAAACCTCAGAATACAATATCATAGCCTTCTTTACTGACAGCACTTGTTATGTGAGAAGACTGAAAGACAAACCACATATGAAAGAGTATTTAACTTCACAAACAAACCGACAATGAAAGCTTGAAACTCTCCCAATTTGGAGAAATGAAACATCCATGGTAAGGACTAAGGAGGTCCACGAGATTAGGTCGAATAATGCATATGCTCCTCGTTTCACATAGCCAAGCAAACAGTTCTAACAGAAAAATTAACCCGAGTGTTAATACCTGCTGCAGTGGACAACAGAAGATATGTCTGAACTCTCTGAAGTGTTTTTTAAGATATTCCTCCAATCTAGGAGTGTCTTCCCTTCGAAAGATGTCCCACAGAGCACCTCCCTCTTGCAGATCAGAGTCGACACAAATACCTGAATCATCCTGATTATCAACTTCTTCGATAGCTTCTGTTTGCTCATCATTGGTAACTTCTTCGATATGTGGGCAATCATCTTTTTCAGTGCATATAGTAACAGTGTTATCTGGTTCCATGCACCTCGCTTTCTTTCCTGCATTCACGTTTTGTTTCTTAACTCTTCTCAGAGAACCCTTTTTATTCCCATTGTTCTCTTGATCCTCGTAAGTTTTATGCTCAGCTCCTTCACATCTTTCCGCCTTCAACTCATGCTCATCTGATTGATTACTTCCGGTGTTAGAACAACAAACAGCTGAAGAGTCGCTTGTTTCTTTGACATCGAAATCTCTGGAGTTACTTCCACTATTAGACCCAACACCATTGTTACACAGTGCCGCCTTTTTTTTCTTCAAGCCAACAACTTGCTTGCCAGTAGCACATTTCATGCTATCAGCATTAAATTTTGCCTCCTTTACCAGTCCAAAAAGTTCCCTCTGATCCTGGGCCTCATGATCCTGTTTCAGTTCATCTATCTCTTTCTGGTTTTTCAACTTTGGGGTCACGGTTGCAGTATGAGTCAGCACATTCACCTTCAAATCACCAAAAATATATTAATAAATGAAAATACATAAAAACCAAAACACACTGGATGTGAAAAATATCTTCACAAGAAAATCTGTGACAATGCAAGCTAAATTTTCAGAAGGTAATTTTATTTCAACATGCCAGAATGTTAGAGATCAGGGTTCTATACTTCGTTAAATAACGCTACACACTTTATATTGTAAAATAATATAAAAACAAGCACCACAAATAGATGTTCAAACTAGAATAGTAAACATACTACTAATTAATTTAGTCCATTTCATTTTACTTTTCCAAGTTGTGTTCATATTTCCATGGTGGGTCCAGGCAGCACTGCAATTCCTGCCTTGGACACTTTTAGTAACATATGAAAGATGGTGAAACCAGACTGATTATACCATAGGGACCAAGGGCAACTTTAGGTAAGGCATAATTTGGTTTTTTCGCTGTTGGCTTTTGTTGACAGATCGAGAGAGGTTTAAAGAAACTAAGAGTAGATTGTACCAATGCCAGTTCGGCACGTCTATGATCCTCAAGTAACAGGGATGGGACTCGCAAAATACATATGCGAAATAAGCAACTTCAATTCAATTGACTAAAAATGCAATATCAGTTTCTGTTAGCTTTCTTGTTTTATACATATGGTGAAGCCATGAGCAAAACAATTTCTCCAAAAAAAGCTGTAAGTGGCAACCTCCGTGGGCAGAAGAAAAAAGAAAACAAATTATACAACTCTAATGGTAGCAGATGAAATCCAACAACGATGATCTTGTTTCTGCCTAAATCAGAACATAAGATTTCAAGCAATAAGAATCTGGCATCACAAGAGAAGCATACCGCATCAGACATGTCACAATGAAGTTTAGTTACAGAGTCTCCACGTCCCAATTCTTGAGCAACTCCATAAGCTATATATGTTTTAGGACCCATGTCAGGCTTCAAAGAGTCTTTAGGAAACTTCACAGCAAGATTAAGGTAGCCATCACGCGGATGTGTGTATTCTTTAAAGGGTAAGGAAGTGATAAATTCAACACCATGACGTGGTAAGCGTTCTTCAAATAAACTCGATGGAGGCCAGTCTTTCAACTTAAGGATCCGAGGCCACCCTTCAGAGTCATATTGACCGTCCGTATACCACTTAAAAAATTGGTGAACATTAATATCAACCTGCATGCCAGGAGAAAGTCAATTAGAAGTGTAATATACCCCAAAACGGTATTAACTTTAAGGCAAAAAAATCTAATAAAAACACATGACAAGATTGGACAAGCTTCTAAAAAAATGTTAGATAAGTTTGATAAAAAGAAAAAGATGAAAAAAAGGTTCTATATTGAGAGAAGTAAAAGAATTTGCCCAAGCTTGTATAATCTCTAGATATCCCAAAATTACCATAGCACATAAGTAATATAAAATTCAATAAAAATTAGAAAATAAGGTAGTGTATGATAGACAGACATAACAAAGCTGGGGAAGAGAACGTGGAGATGGTCGACAATGGTGGCAACCAACAATGGTAGATATGGAGGTGATGGTAGTGGTAGCCCATGGTGGTGGAGGTGGTGATTACGAAGGTGGTCGTGGTGGCGATGGTTGGTGGTCGTGGTGGTGATGGGTGATGGTGAACATTTAACCAAATACAATATTACGGTTATATCAAATGAGAATAGATTGATAATTTTTCGGTTCTATCCCATTCTTGGCCCATCTTGTTCCGCCTAATTTGGTGGAACACAAAAAGCCTTTTTTGTCCCATGAGACGGTGAGTTTTTGTCCCGTGCCATGTCGCGCAAAACATGGCACAGTGATTTTTATTCTCCGAAGGGATTATTGGTACAGCAAAATTCTCCTACACCCGATGAGAAAGAGAAGTTGTGGGAGTCAACTAGAACTGTTTAAAAATACATGTAAGAACTGAAACAGTTGAAAACTGGTAGTCTTTTAACCATGAGCTAGAAGGCAGACTGAGCTAACTTAAAAACAGAAAAAAAGAGTGAAAGGCATGCTTAACCAACCTCACACCAATCTAAACAATTAAGTGCAGCCACATCCAGGAGCTGGTCATGCTTGGTATTTGAAATCTGGCGAAAAGCCCGCCACATAACCATGGGCTCCCAGCTCAACCCAAGAGTAGTTTCAAGAACATTACTGACTATGACAGGCTCGCCTTTCGACCAATGCCACTGGAAATGCTTTAAATCTCCAGGTTGAATGTCTATAGCACGTGGACAGTACAAGTAATTGTCATTGGAACTTTCACGAGAAGCAGCTTTGCGTAACTGCTTATCACCATCGCTTTCCCTGACAAAATCTGAACAAGTGCACCACTTCTCAGGCATCTCTCGCATGTCCTCCTCCATTTTGTGCACTTCTAAGAGCTCTTGTGCGTCCTTCAACAATGCTGAAACCTTGTCAAATGGCCTTATACGCATCAACTCTAAAATTCCAAGACCACAACCACCCATACTTTGTGGAGGACAAGGAATTCTACCATCATCCAAACACTTCCAGTCATGTGTTATCTTTTTGCATGGTGCAGGATCTGCAGCACGCTTTACAACATAACGGCCCTTCTCATGCCCATGCAAGTAATCAGAACCTCGATCTATAAATTCAGTGATAACTTCTTCCTTGTTTCCCTGAGGGTTGCCATCACGCAATTCCCAGCAACATTGAAGGCAAAGGTCATAATGACAATGAGGACAGCTTCTATGCAAGTCAAAAATTGACGTTTTACAGCAGTCACTGCATGCATCAGGTGACAAAATCAAGAAAAGATCTCACTACAAAACAAAATCTTCAAAGACTTTTACAATCATTGGAATGACATACCAGTACATGCGCTCATCCAGTTTGCACTGTGCCTTCTTCAAATGTACCTCCGATAAAGTTAATCCTGCCCAAGAAGATAAATTTAAGGAAACCTAGATAACTATGACTGATTGATACCTATATGGTCAACTCATCCTTTTCATGAACAAACTTGCACTATCATTCCAACTCACCATCAAGCCAAGAGAAAATAATTGAGCTACAGAAACTAACAAGTAGAATTTATCACAGTATATTGCTCAATTTTGTTAGGATTGCAATAACTACCCCATACAGATACATAATCCTTCTAAAGAAGGTCTATGCACCTAAGCCACCCAAAAAACAATTAAAAGACAGTTTTAACAACAAGACACCAACTCCTCAGAACTGAGTGCAAGGTCACAGATTTAAGTCCATTTCATCCATTTACAAGATCACAAAAAGAAACTAAGTTAGAATGAAGAGCACTGAGAGTTCAGGTTAAGAAATTAAGCAGATGAAACAATTTTCATTGGAGGTTCCTAGAGTCTCAATGATGGACTTATTGAATTCAAGCCCTTTTATCATCAGAAAGAATCAAATATATGGCAGTATTGATTTAGATTAGCTACAACGTGGACTTGGAGTTGTACTCTGTAGATACAAGACTCCTAAGATGAACAACCGAAAATACCTTGAATTTTAGCCTCTACCTCTTTCTCCTTTATGTGTTCCTCTTTGAGCCGCTTCAAGAATGGAAGAAGAACATGTAGGATATAAATAGAATATCGAACTTTCTGATCGTCATCAGGTCGGAAATCAATCATCCCCTTCACCTAAAAACACCAACAGATTCAGTATTGCAATTCATATATAGGTAAGAGTAAGAGGAGCAACAAATTCCATAACAAAAGCTTCAGGAACCAACTTTAGGCCGCACATCACGCAAACAAGATTTACAGTTGCAATTGTCACAGCAAACAGGGCAACGCTCAGCAAACATCTCCTCTGTCATGTTAGGGTACCTACAGAACAGTGTAAACAAAGAGAATATGATGAAAAGGCTGTAAAAGAAGACCGGGTTCCAAAAAATCATTATTAACGTAGCAGGCAGAGGGTAATACAGTTTTAAGACTATATAGAGGGTTGCAAGCACATATGCACCAATGAGAAGATGACAGGGTATCCTAATACATAACCAATATGGATGGGTGACTGAGTATGGAAGACCAGAACTAGTCCACATTATGTGCAAATTGCCTCCTCCACTTGAAGGGATCAATTTTAAGCCTTCTAGCCTATTGGCATAACAGCTCCTAGCAGGAATCAAATCTAGGACCTCATAAAACATTGGAAAAAAGGGATTAACCGGTAGGTCAGCCCTTGGGGGAGACTATTCTTCTACCTGATCAGCTTAAGAGAATATTCAACAATCAAGCATCAAGTTAGGAGGTTATGAAAGCTTGCAACAAATCCAACCAACTCGCCCACAATGGTCAACAATTGCACCAACAAAAATTTAGCAATTTTGAAGTTAAAAGGGACATTTGAAATGCTAAAAAAGATGTTACAAGGCCATCAGACTGAAGCTGCAAAACAGGCATTTAACGGAATTTCTTCGCTAAAAAGAAAGAAAAAGTTTTGATGGAAACCCATACCATGTTGTCATGCAAGGAACACAGTAACGCTTTGTAGTGCATTTCTGGCACCGAATAACTCGTCCCTTATCATTCCTTTGACACTGATGGCACATGTTCGACTCAACCTGGACTTCATTTCCCTGCCAGTAGATGAAGAATAAAGAGATCAAATATATATGCACTCTTTATCGGTTGACGCCATCAAACATACTTTTTAAAGAAGGGAGTCAGAGAGAGGATACGTTACATTTTCATCCAGAACCGAGTGCCTAGCATAATACTTAAACTTTCTGCCTGAGTTGGACCCTTCCCGACATCTCTTTGTTGAAGAAGTTTCGTGTTCCTCTTCACCAGTCTTCTTTGTTTTCTTCGTAACTCTCTTTGTTGAAGGATTTTTTTGTTCCTCTTCATCAGTCTTTGTTCTCTTCCGCATACGTTTCTTCTTCCGTTCATCATCCTCATAATCTTCTAAGAATTTGTAAATATCGACGTAACTAACATTACTCCTATTTCTTCTTGTAGACCTCTCATTCTCCTTGTCTTTTTCGACCTCGACGTCAAGTCCATTTCCGCCATCAACCATAACAACTTCTGTTTCTTCCGCGCACTTGGTATCATCATCAGTAGACTTCACAACACCCATCATCAGCGTCTTCTCTTCTTCTGTTGAAAGGTCCTGCTTTGGATGACCACGTGGTTTATTTTTCTTGTAATGGCCTGGTTTCGAGCCTTTCTTCTTGGGAACACCCACCTTCACCTCTACGTTGGATTCAGAAACGCAATCTTGTTGTTGTCCACCATTAAAACCAGATTGTTCCTCTTTTGTCAAAACAGCCTCCTGATGTTCTTTCTCTTCAACCAACAGTTCATCCGCGTTATGGGTAACAGAAGAAATATTATTACTTCGTTCTAATTTTTGGGTTTCGGAGGTCGAGGGTGGAGATTGATGATGAAGAGGAAGAGGAAGAGTAGAAGGAGAAGGCGCAACAACACCCACGCCTTGTTCCGTTTCCGTATGGGTAACACGACATCGTTCCGCATCATCAGTAGCAACCTCAGCATCCATCACCCTGTCAACGTCCTTACCTTCTTCTTCTTTGGATTCAACAAGACTCCCGTTGATCGCCATAGTTGTCGCCATCAATATACAAAATATTTCTTGAGAAAGAAAGAAGGAATTTATACAGGAAGAAAGAGAAAACAGTGGGTGGGGTGGGATTAGGGTTTAAAAAACAGTGGATTTTTGGGATTCAAAAAGGGGATTCCCGCCTGTTGAAGTCACTTCGCGGGGTTTCACAGACAGACCGACACAAGTGCTCACCAGAATCGAGAGAAATAAGGACGAGGAAGGAGAATTGGAACCCTAACTTCATCATGTCACGAATTGATACCATGTTTAGTTAATTAATGAACAACAAGAAGTTTTGAGAGGAGATGTTTTGTATTTACCGAGTCATGACTTCAGTCGATTCTTATCGATGAACCAATAGGTACGTATAGATGTCTTTCGTTCTCGAGCTTTTCATTTTCTTCCTTATTGTCGATATCGTCACATAAATTGATTTGATTGTGTTTTTAATCGTGACCATTGTTGTAGCTCTATTTGATCTGATTTGATCCCTTGAAGACTTTCTATACATGGAACCAATGCATGTATGTGGTGATACGTCAACAAGTTCATCAAACACAGTATTGTTGTCGCTTTACTTTGTGAATCTGATGATGACCACCAACTCTTTGATGACGTCTGCGAGTGAAAAACAACGAAGTTTTGCTAATACCTCGACTCCTAAACATTTCAACATGTGAATTTTGAAACAGCGATATAGAAAACAATCCATATATAGGATTTTACAAAATGTGTATCATAGTAGCATCTAGTACAATGGTTATATATGAAGACCCCCCCCCCCCACCCCCCCTGCACGTGGCATCAAGAAAGGATAAGGAGCGGCCAAATCCACTTTGAAGAAGATAAGCTTCTTGTTTCGACATGGTTGAATAACATTTTAGATGCAGTAACGGGAAATGAACAAAAGACATGCCAATTTTGGAAAGTAATGGTCAAGTACATATTTGGGACGAACATTGGAGTTAGAAATCATTACAAAGCCATTGGGTGAAAATCAGTGCAATTGTAAGTAGGTTTTGCGGAATCCACTCTCACATTGAACATTTAAGGAAAGTGGTTACACAGAGCAAAGTAAGGTAAACTATCACCTTGATATAGTTAAACTAAATGAGACTATTTTTATTTTGTATTATGATATGATAGGTAGTGGAGGCAAACGAGGTTTTCAAGAAAGAGGAAGGTCGTTCATTTCAACTAGGTCATTGTTGAATATACTGAGGTTTCAACATAAATGGATGAATGGATATAAGAGGATTGAAGATAAGAGAAACTAGAAAAGTCGATAGTTTATTCTGGTAAAGCTTCAAAGTCGATAAGTTTCGATGATGACAACATAGAAGCCTACAAACTCGAGTACGCCAATTGGAAGAAAGGTTGAATAGGAAGCGATCAAGAAAGCTAAAGTCATAAATCAATATAAATTATGGTTATGGATGCTAGTGGCATGGCTTCGATTCAAGTTGAATACTTTGAGAGGTGTCGAAAGGAAATCTCACAAAGCAAGCTAGGAGAACTGAAAACATCTGATCATGGACGGGTTTGATGGACTGATAATTTTTTTACCAAGTCTAAGGTGTGTTTTGCTTGTCACTTTCACCTGTCTTTGTACTTTATGCTCATCATATGGAACAATCGAATTTAGATGTTTATGTATATGTGTTCCTTTCTGCTAAATTGCATCTAATTTGGGATTAAAGTTCAATTTATATATTTGCCAATGTGGTACTATTACCGTGTTTGAGTAAAGATTTTAGTTCCAATTGTAAGCTTTTTAGGTTATTTTTCTTGTTCTTGTATTTGCAAATGGTATCCATGTTGCAAAAGAAATTTTAGTAGAGTTTGTATTTAGAGCTTAGGTGATGAACCAAGGTCTTGATTAGGTTTGATAGTAGTTGGTGATTAACAACATAAGTGGTTTTTCTTTATGCATTACTTGGATATATATATATATATATATATATATATATATATATATACTATCTTATAAAGCATTTGGCTAAAACTCTTAAAACTTTTAAAAACTCTTAAAACTCTTAAAACCCTTTTACCCGTTCATCCCTATCCGAATTCATCCCATATCTGAATTCGTGTAACTAACTGCAGATAAACACAATCAAATACAGGATAAACATCTCATTTTAATAAAAAATCTAAAATATAATTAG